TTTCACACTCAACACCCGTACCGATCGGTCCATTGTATTCAACTCAATGTGGTATTCATTTGACGACTCAATTGATGACACAATTGTTGGGTTAAATATCACTGCTTTCGGGTTGTATTGAGTCAAATCGTCGGTAAACTCTTTTATGTTTTGATTTGTCCCATATTCAGTGCACGTCGTCTTTATCGACGATAGAGTCTCCTCTTTGTATGGTATCTAAACACATGGTATTTTTAGTTTCTCTCTCTCTCTCTCTCTCTCTCTCTCTCTCTCTCTATCTCATTATACATACTGTATAAGATGTTTCGCACACATAGTGTCCAGAAGTGATGGCATTTTGATTCTTTCGTAAACCGGAAAAGCCGTTAATAACAGTGTCTGTCTTTCGCTCCTGATTTCCATACGTAGAGACGACAGGTTTGGTCTCGTTTTGCGGTATTTTAATCTCAAATTCCCAAAACTTGTCTTTGGAAAACATACGACTCTTAAGGACAGTGCCTTCAGTCCCTTTAATCCATACTTTGCGTATTTTCACGCCATTGTATTTGCCGTTATTTGCTATGAAATCACACACCGATTGGTCCGCGCATTCAATTGCGGACAGCATTGATATTATCATAAAAATTATAATCATTTTCTGGAGATAACTAATGGTTTCCGAAAAGCAAACTAACATTTGGTTTAATTGTAATGAAAATAATTGATTATTTTAATGGTAACGGAATTAACAACTTTTTTTTTTTTTAAATTTAAACAATTAGTGTATGCATAGTATATCTCGCGTAACAATAAATTCATTATAATATATAATTATAAAGTAAACACTGGATAAAATAAAACTAAAATATTTTTAATTGTTGTAAAACTGTTGAAAAGTGATACATGTATTGATTAAATATAAAAATAAATTCTAACTAATAATAGACTGAAATTTTTAATTTATGATTGTTTATACAAAATTACAGAAAATATAATTCATTTTTAATATTAAACAATTCAAACACATACAAATTGTTAGTTAATTTATTTTCATTTATATTGTATTGTATTTTATTAATTATAACAAAGAACTAGTTTAATTTGTTTTTCATTTAGATATAACATTAAAGATATTAAAAGTAAAAGTGATTTACAGGAAGATTGATTAACTGTTCTCAGCATGATGATAATTTATACATTAATTGTAATGCTATTTATTTTAAATAAATAAAAATTGCCTTAATAATTAAAAATTAATCATTGTTAAAATAATTTTGTTATAAGCCATATAATGTAATTTAAGTGAATAATTTATTTACTTTATTAATCTGAAAGTAACTGAAATGCAGTGAGAAAATTATTTACAATTTTTCCAGGGTAACTTTCCATAAATTATCTTTTATTGTAGCAACAATATAACACATGTAAATCTGATAATAATACATAACTTGTGGTAAATGCTTAGCAAATAATAATTGACTAACAAGCTAGTTATTATTAATTATTAAATTACATTACTGTTATTCTATTAGCATAATGCAAAAAAATAAGTACAGTAAATAAAAATAACCGCCAATTGTAAACAAATGACATTGTAAATTATTTAAACAAAAATAAGTAAATCATTGCAAAAATATTTTGTAATTTTTATACCTACAATTTAGAGATGAAATTGATTACTTTGACTACAGTTATTATAAATAATTTACTGTATAAACTATTCATCTGGCAATCGGCAAATAATTCACAAAGATAAATTTTTATCAGATTTTCACTATTGGTATAAAATAGTCAAACAATTATACAATAGACTAGTTTTATAAATAGTTGTGAAAAACACTAAATTAATTGTTTTGTTAAAATAAGTTTTAATTTTCTAAAGACATGAATAAATTCGGTATTCACGTATTAGTGACCATGGTGCTTATGGCTTTTGTTGTACACTGTGTTAACCTAGACTTCAAAAACAAATTAAACAACAAATTATACGAGTTTAACTGCACGTATTCATTGACCAAGGGCGAATATTTTAGCAATTTTTCCTACGGCTACGAGACATCCAGATTTTTCTACTACGACAACAAAACAGCATCGAGTAATTTAACAGCAATTTATCATAATAATTAAATTAATTATTTAACCAATATTATTCATTTTTAATATAATATTATCATATCTTAGATATAATCAAAATAAAAGGCGTGGAAGATGTAAAACAATTGAAACCATATACCGGTGATATAACAATTGGCAAATGGACCAAGGGCAATTATTCGTGTACAGTGGGCACACACAACAAAACACACACTATACTAACCACACGTTTTGTTGGCATAAACTCCGGCCATAATATTGCAAACAATGTGTTTATGACCACAGGTTTGGTCGCCCTGTCATCGGCTCTGCTATTTAAGTCTTTATAATATTATTTTTATATTTTTATTGTAAATGATTTACAGAATATAATTTAAAGTTAACATTTATTTTTTGTATAAATATTCTAACTTCTTATTATTTACACAAATAATAAATATCTATATTAAATAAATTGGTATACATTTATTTATATGAAATTAAAGTAAATTGATATTGATTTAAAAATTTTAAATGATTAAATATTACTTTATAATTCAATGTGCTTTAAAATGTAATTCACACAAAAGGCTGATCATTGCAAACATAAATAAAACTAAAATAAATTCATAAAAATGAAATAAATGTCTATTAAATACAAACACTAAATCCGCTGACAATACATAACTTTTATCGTATTTCAAAGTTTTTGAATTGTATTTCAACATAATCTCCGCAAACCAGTGGTCCATAAGTCCGGCCACATGTGTATATGAAATGCTAAATACAAACCAATAAAACAATTAATAAAACAAACAAATAATTAAAAAACATACAAAAAGTCATACATTTTATTAAACTTGGATTTATAGGGAAAATTTCTACGCAAACCAATGGCCGAAATATGTATGGCTAGAGTGGACTCTTGGGTCTCCGGTGGGACGTAATGTGTGGTAATATTGTGAGCCTTTAGGCCATATATCAGGTGCTTTCGAGTGGATATATACGAGTACTTCCCTTCGCCGTCCCGTAGTGTATGGAAAGGCTGGGGGACTAATGTCGGTACTATATGTCTACCAATTCTCTGAGTAAGCTCATTTGAATAATTTATTAACAATCTATGTTGGTAGGTTCCATTACGTACAATCACATTGATTTGACCTCTAGTATAAGCCATTGTTAACATGTCCATACTGTCAATACTAGTGTCCAGTAATACCGTATTGAACGAGAACAAACATCCGCTATAGTAACACGATAAAATCATGCTCGCCATTATCCAAGCGGTTAATACTATCCTATTATAAACTTTACGATAAATATACATGGTGAATGATTGCTTAAGCGCTGTCTGTACAACTGTCCATAGGCATATGCTTGGGACCTTGGTCAATTTACTCGATATCCAAGAGTTAATAATCAGAAATATAATTGATATCAATATTGATAGCCAAACAAAGTGGTCGAAAGGTGTGAATAAATTAATAAATTGTTTGCTTTCAGGTGTGGGAGACGTGAATGCGATTGTGTCCACAAATGTCGGGTTTGTATAATCAATGTCTTCAAAACGTTTTTCGGTCATTGCTATGACTCCTGCGCCCATATCTGCTCTCTATATAAAATACAATAATTATTGAGCATAATTATTAATTACTAAAATATTAATATATGGTTTACTCCATCATTTAATAAACCGATTAATCCCGACCATGATTTATTTGCCAATTTTACTCCATAATTATAATTACAATTACTGACGTTAAATGTAGTATTGAAATGAGCTTGAAACAATTGCAAAACTCTGTACTCTATGCCATCGGCAATAATATTGCGGTGAATGTAGATAAACGGCGGAAACTATTCATAAATTATTTTTTAAAGTTAAATTATTTGCATAAATCAAATTTTTAATTTACTTTACATGGTTTACTACTAATTTTAATGTTTGGTTATTTAAAATAACCATGTTTAAATTGCTCGGATATATAAGTTTTTATTATATTTAGTTTTGAGTTACAGTTGAAATTAAATGAATTGCAAAATCAATCTAATATTATCAAACAAATTATTTTAAATATGTTTAAATAGCATTAACAGTTAATTATTATTATAAACTTTTATAAATATTTAAGTAGCGACAATATAATCAATAATGTTTAAAGTAATTGCATTTAACAAAGTGCGGAACTTTATAGTTTCCACCTTTTGTACTCTGGTTTTTATGATATTGAAATAATATGTACTTAAAAGTTTTCTATTAATAATTTAGAGATTTATATATTTAAATATAGAATTAAGCTAATATATTATTTATAAACTAACAATTAATTTATTACATATTATTAAGCATAATTTTATGCCAAATTTACATTAAGATAAAAATATTTTAATGATTGATCTTGGTACAAGGTATTTGATCCAACAATAATATAATTCTGCAAAATATGTTTTACTGCTTACTTATTAGAGCATAATTACAATTTTATTAAACTGTAAACTTATTTGTTTATTAAATCATGTGCACAGTTGTACCTGGATTTTAATTGACAAGGTTTATAAATTCATTAGTTTTTGCTAATAATTTATGATAATTTATTTGAAAAAGTTATTTATAAGATAGTGAGTTAGATTGATAGGAATTACAAGCAGAATAAATACATGGTTATATTATATTTGCAAAATTCAATAAACTATTGTTTAATTAAAATATTTTAATGTATTAAAGATTAGAAACTATGTAACAGTTCTATGAACTATAATTTTTATTATTACAGTATAATGTATAGTGAAAATCATAACTATAATTAAACTATAATTAACAATCTGAGAAAACCATAATTTAAAAATTTTTAAATTCTCTATTTATAAATAATCAACCAAATAAAATTATTGACTTTTGTGCCTAAATAGGTTATAACATTGTTAGTACACAAATTAGTTTAACTATAATCCAGTTTAATAAAGGCATCGCATATAAACAGTAGTAATTTTAACGATAATTTCTTATGCAATATAATTTTGATAATGTTTACTATGGGAACAATAATTTTTACTTCATACCAATTCCTATTGTATTACTAGATAAGTGATCTAACAATATAATGTTGGTACATTATTTGGTGTATTTTTGTGTAATAAACTATAAATTTAAACTTTAATTAAGCATGATAATTTATTATATTAAATTATTTATCATAATAAATATAGCATTACTTGTAGAATGTGCCATGGTCAAGTTTCGCATTACTAACTCAACAGATAGTCCGCCAAATTTAAATATTAAATGCAAACCTGTATTAAAAGTAAATGAATTTTTTGAGGCTTTGATTATAACAAAGGATGACATTGTGTTGTATTATATCAACAAAACAATTGTTAATCGTATGTAAATTGTTATTAAAATATAACATATTTATTTAATCTCTCTCTCTCTCTCTCTCTCTCAGAACCATTAAGTGATGATTTAGTGGACACGGAAGGGACAGTTATAAACGATGTCGGTTTTATAACCATAATTCCTATGCATGTACTTTCTCGACAATACTGGTACCCAATGTCCGGCGTCTACACGTGTCAATTAGACTATACATATACGGGACACGCGTTTACACATATAAGCAAATTACAATTACATTTAAATGGAGTTGATTATAATCCACCTACAAATATGTACTCGGTTAAAACTCAATCTTTAGTCTCATATTGTTCGTTATATTTTATACTCTATTTGCATAATAATAATAACTAAATTTAGATTAATCTAGAAGAGAAATCTAAAAAAGAAATAATCTAGATGTAAATAATGATAATTGAAGCTATTGGAAAATTATTATATTTTTCAATAAGAAATTTTTTTACCCATATTTTTTAATTTGTTATTTTTTATACATTAATAGCTATTAAATTACAAAGCATTTACAAGTATAATTGAATTGTTTTTATTATTTACTTATCATGTTATCTAATAAATTATCAGTGATAATATACAATTTATAGTAACTTTAAACCAACAAGTAAGTATTTGTAAGTTAACTCATTTCTACATAAACTTAATAAAACTCATAATAATTGTCAATAAAAATGGTGAGACATTTCATTGGTATTTACTGATTAAAAATATGATTACTTAAATGCTAACCAACGGAATAATGCTTACAACAATAAATCAGATAATCACCAACCTGAATGATTCATCCCATGGTTACTTTACCAACACCTTAATGTATATATAATACTAATTAGTGTAGTTATTTAAAAACAATCTACCCAAAACACAAACAAACATTTTAAATAACTAACATGTTTGTACTAACATTTACAGAATATTTAGCATGCTTGCTAATTTTAATGATATGCTATGTAGATTGTGCCAAGGTAGATGTGTTTAGTGTTAATGTTTCGATCAAATCTACGCCAGAATTGGATATTACATGTTATTATGAGATGGAAGACAACGAAGACTTCAAAGGGTTGACCATTAAATTAAACGGAACGCCTGTTTACACATGGGATCAAAGATCTGGCAAAAGTATGTCTCATATTTAATACTAATAATATAAATAAAATTTATAATAATTTTAGAATAGTTGTATAATAATTTTTAATCAAAATTATAATGCAACTTTTATATTTTTAGTTGTCATGATCTCGATCAGCCCAATCTTGAATTTTGTTTATATCTTTATTAGCTTATCTTTTAATTATTTATTATAAACAAATTTATTTTTGTAAAGTTATTTTAATTTAATACTCATAATTTTAAATATAACTTGTTATGACATTTTCACATTTCCCATAAGTATCTCTTAACATACTTCAAATAAAGTAATTAAAACAAAATAATTATAGCCAAATACAATCATCAATTAATTATGAATCATAATTTATGATTTTATTTTCTTATAGAACCTGAACTAAACAATGCTCTTCGATTGAACATGGTGACGCAACCACAACCTGGACGTTTTATCATAAAGAATGTTGACCATTTAGCATTTGGTACATATCAATGCGATCTAGAT